CTAACTCTACAAAATCTTGTAGTATAACCGTTGGTTTCTTAAAATAAATTCAATGAGGTAATGAACATGAGACATAGCTTGTCCCCTATCCAAAAGCCATTTGTGACTTTTCAAAAAATCGTGTTTTTTGCACAAATTAAGAGAAGATGGAAAAATAATACGAAAAAATAAATAATAAAAGGGCCATAAAAGGTAAAAAGATGAAAATATGGGGGGTCTAAAATGGAGCACGCCAACAAGCACTTAAATTTTGAATTTCACCCCAATGGAGATTCAGATTCTGCAGGCGTGAAGAGGCAAAGCCTGGTGCTTTTGTCCACTCAAAACCCACCATCTTTTCTTATTTTGTCACTTTACACCCCTATCTCTTCCCACTAACATCATTACCTTATGCTTTCCATTTTCATTTCAAAACTGAACATTAAGGGGTTGTTTGTTTACCTCTTAATAGTTCTATTAAGAGACAACTTCTGAATCGTTAAGAAGTGAATCTTGTTTGGCAAGAAAAAAGTATGTCTCTTAATTATTCCAAAAGCCTCTGAATGATTTTGTATCCCGAATCTCCCTTAACCATTAAGAGCCCTAATTTCATTGTACACAATTACCAAACAATTATATTCATTTTGTACTATATCATGAGAGCTTCTTAATCATTCTGACCACTTAATCATTCTGCACCAAACCATTCAGCAATTGCCAAACAACCCCTAACTATATCTATAAATGTTCATTGTAGATATATACAAAGATTAGGTATCTACATGCACACAATTCATAAGTATTGGGAAAAAATAAATTACATGAACTGTAACAAATTTTTAAAAAGATTTGTTTTGGTACCGTAAATACGTAAATCAAAATGTGGAACGTAAAGTAAATATCAAATTAAGGTACAATATATTTCATGTATTTTTAGATATAAACTGTATATATATACTTAAATATTTAAAATGTAATATTTAAACTATGAAATTAAAAAATTTGATATCATGTTATAGAAAATAGAAACCCAATAATGAAACACGAAGGTTGGTTTTTGTGATACATTCATTACATAATTTATACATGTGTGGGTCTTAATTAGTTCTTGAAAATAATGCCTTCATCAAGAGCATTGATAGGGGTTGCAAACTTCAATGTTGTCTCCTCCCAAATGTAACTATATATATTGACCTTTAGTTTATGTGTTAAACTATGCCAAATATTTAATAAATAAAACCCATCACCCATTGTCTCTTAATTTGAGATGGAGATTGAGCATGCATGCCACCAATGTAAACAATTTCAAAACATGAATGAATATTATAGATGTTCATTATCTTGTTTATATATATATATGTACTGTTATTACTTTTTATTTATTAGATAAATCTTTTTTCGAAAAAATAAAAATATTAATTCGTCCTATAATTTTTGTGGGATCCATACATGTAACATTCAAGCTTTGAAATCATACCTCGTAAAAATATTTATAAAATTAAAGTAGTTTAACATTATAGTTATATCTTTATAAAAGAAAAGGCAATTAAAAATATTAAATTTAATAATATTGTCAAATATATAGTAGTTTACACACACATATATAGAGAGAGGGTGTGAGTTATTATACAACCATTTACATTTGTATAATCAATACAACTTAATTTCAATCATCCATTTAATTTGATGAATATATGATTTCGTAAAAGTTTATATTGTTTACTAATATAAAGTATTGATCATAATTAGTGAACCTCAGTCATTTTCTATAAATATTCAAATCATAATATATGAACTCTTATTATTTTCATAAATATCTCAATTGATTGAGTTGCATTGGTTGTACAAATGTAATGGATCACATTTGAAACGTCCTATATATATATATATATATATATATATATATATAGATGAATTCTTTTTTGAATAAAAAGGGTAACATTTTGCAAATTTATATAAATATTTAACAATAACATATAATCATGGTTATCTTATGAAAATTGAAACCAATAATGAGTAAGATTTCAGAATGTACCTAATGATTTGTATGTGTGTTTAAGGAAAGAAATTTAACCAAAAGATTAGTTAAGCGATCATGAGTTATGACCGACAACAAGAGTTACGTATTACAAAGTCTAAAAACTAGAGTGACTAATTTGAAATTCAGAAAATATTACTTAACTGGCCCTCAATTTATCACAAACATTGCAACTTATACCCTCTTTCTAATTGCTTATATCATTATCATCAAGCCACCTATTACCTTATAAAATCAAAGATACATTATGTTGGAAATTATGGATCATTATTTTGATTCAAATCAACAATTCATGTGTTCCTATTTAGTTTAAATATATGAATAGTATATTTATATTTTACATACTTTATTATCAATAAAATGGAATACTATTATTATGATGTATGTTGTGACCTGTGTTTCATCATTATATATGAAAATAAAGATTACAGAAATTAATATAGACTAGTAATCTCGTTTGGTATTAATATTATTACAAAACGAAGGGCTTTCTCGACATTCTTTGAAAATAAAAGGGGTTGATTTGCAATAAGTAAAGATGGAAAGAAATAATTTTGTTTGCCAGCTTCCAATTCCATTCCTTATATTCTTCTATTCTCAAACTCCCATGACAAGATTCCTTCTTCTTGATTCCTTCTGGCTAGGGTTTCCCATGCAATTTCAATTTCAAATTCCAATTTTTATTTTATTATTTATTATTTAAATTTGGATTTTGATAAAGAAAAAGGCAACAGTCCCCAACCTCATCACCCATTATATTTATATATCCCTTTAATTACTAAATTGCCCAAACCTACTTCACCAATAATTTCCTATTTTTCTAAAAACACACTTGGTTTTTTTATTTAAATGAATTACATTTCTCATAACTTCAAAACTAAACCAATCTATAAATTCCAAAAAAATTGAATCATTTTTTACTGCTAAATTTTCATTAAAAATAAAATATAAGATCAATGTCCTCGTGGCTCATTCGGTTGTATTTGTAGGCAAGTTTACCTAGAAAAGTTTATTTTACAACATAAATATAAATTTAATATTACTGATTAACAAATTTATATAACAACTATTTATGTATTTTGCAAAAAAAATTGTTATATTGATGATGATCTCAATCAATATGATGATGTTACATAATTGCTTGACCTTTGAAAACTAGTGTTTACCAAGAAGAGTGGTAGTTACTTAGTTTTCAAGGAACATCATTTCAAGATTTGTAGCATCTATTTGAAGTTATAGTCACCAAAATAAACAACATTACAAGACTTGTATTTGATTGCCATTTAAGTACCAACCTCGAAATCGACCTCACTCCATCATTCCTTCACTTCTAATTGACACCACTTTCGATCTTAAGCAAATCATTAAACTATCCATTAACCATCTTGTTCATCAATTAAATAGTTAGATCCCGTCATAATGTTGTAATCATATCCATAATTAAGTACACAAAGTATGATCACATATATAGATAAGTATCGATGTTTGTTTACGGGGGGAAACGTTAAATAAATATTTAATATATATCTTTTATTCATTTAAGAAATTATTATTTTTGGTCATCATACCCAATGAGGTTTTCCCTCACCATCCCGATGGTACAAGGATCGTCTCTGATATCATTTCTAGCAATCCAAAGCCTAATAGCAACAAACATACCATTTAACCTTTTTTACTGCAGATATAGTCGTATAGAATACATGTAAGCATATTATTATGATTAGTATTTTGCTAGGTAAAAAGGTTAAAAAGTCATCGTAGCATATGAAATATTTGTTTAGTTTCTATTAATGGAAATAAATGAAAGAAGTGATATTTATGATTGCTTGTAAGTTGCTCTTGGTTTATGTTTGAGATCATTTTGACGACAATATCAAAAGAAATTTTCTTTTGAGGAATTGAGGTTGAATGTTGAATAGTTGGAAATCCTTAAGAAGTCACATGGTGAAACTTGCACACAAATAATACAAATATTATGAATCTTGTTTATATTATTTAATAATAGGAGTTGATATACGAAAAAAAAATCATTTTATTGATGTTAATGTTTTAATATATTCTAAAACGAAAAAAAAAATGGAGATTTGGAAATAATTTTTTCCTTTTAATAAATTGTTTAAAATGAAGAGAGTAAGAGAAATATTAAAAAAATTCAAATTTGAAGAATTCCGTGAAAATAAATTGTTTAAGAGCATCTAGAGCGCTAGAACTTTCAAAAATCTTATTTGCCATATTTGTTTACTGTTACATCTTGATCACCTCAACCAAATAATAACCTTAATAAAACTCGAGAATGCAAGATCTTATTAAAATCTCATTTTTCATTTATAAACAGTAAATTTATTATAAAATTTACATATATCATAGAAATATTAAAAAAATTCAAATATAATTTATTAATTTTCAAATTTCTATATAGAAAGGAATTATATACAATTTTGAGTTTAAATATTGTAATTTATAGAATATTATATTTAGAAAAAGGAATTATAGAAAGTCAAAACAATGATAACCTGAGAAAATATAATGGTATGATGGAAATTGCAAAGAATGGAGTCCACTTGGAAGAGCTTGAAATATGGTGGAATCATCACTCTCTCAAACCTGACCACCATTAATGGCTTTTTTGGATCCTTCAATTTAATACCCATTAATGACTCTTTTTGTTTTCTCATCTTCACCCTTCCTCCCCCCTTTGTTTCCATCTCTTACCCACGTGCTCACGTAATTCTTCTTTCTTCTCGGGGCTATTTCCGTCTTTTCATACATCATCATCTTCCGATTTATTATTATGGGGCTACTCCGCTTCCATTCCATTCTTTCTTCCAACCTCCTCCACCCACAATTATATACAACAAGGTTTTACTCTACACTCTAGAGACAGAAGGGAGATATATAGATACATATACGATATATATATACACACACACACACAGCTCATTTAAAGAGAAGGAAAATTTTGCTGTATCTACTGTCGCCGGAGATGGCGGCAGGGTGGGTAAAGTCATTACAATGCAAAGCAAGAGCTGTAGACGTTGTCGAGAGTCACCACCTTCATCTTCTCCCAGCTTCTTCAAGTTGTAGAAAGAGTTTTCAGAGTCTCAAAGACGTCGTTGACACCACTAAACAAAAACCCAGAAAGCCCAAACCCTCGCAACCATCGCCGCCGCCGGAGCTGCCGCCGTCCAGGAAAACCAAAAGCTCCGTTTCAAGAAAACCCGAAAACGTTACCCGGGTACGAAGTAGTAACTCGTTATCTAGCAATTCCAGACGACACTCACGTCCATCCGATTCTTATTTTCCGGCGTTGACTGATCTGCCGGAGGGACATCCGTCACGTAATGTGGTGGAGATTATATTTCATACGAGCTGGTCGCCTAAGGTTTTTTCGGGTCGGATAGAGATGGTTTTTAAGGTCCAGAATTTGGCCCGTACCGTGAGCCGGTTCGAGGAGTACAGGGAGGTAGTGAAGTCTGGATCCGGGTCAAGTGATAATGGTGGTTCGGGTCTCGGTGAAGACCACGCACGGTGTGTTGCAGATGGGAATGAAGTGATGAGGTTCCAATGCCTGGGACCCACCGGCGGCGGTGCTTATGAAACCGCAGGTGGCGGTGCGTGGTCGTTTCAGTGGGGGAAGGGGGCGGCGCTCTGCACGTTTTCCGGCAGCGGAGTAGCGCACGAGCGTGCGGGTGGTGGCAGGGGGCGGAAGGCGATGCTGGTTTGTCGAGTCATAGCGGGTCGTGTGCACAAGCAGCTGGAATTTGACTCGGTGTATAATGGACGAGTCGGGTATGACTCAGTGAGTGGGGGAAATGGCGAGTTGCTTGTATTTGATTCCCGTGCTGTGTTGCCTTGTTTTCTTATTATCTATAAATTGTAAAAAAGAAAATTGGTTTTCTACGATTTTGTAGAAGTGACAACCAACCCTCTTCAACTTATTAAATTTTACATTTCCACCTACTTAAACCTCACATCTCCACTTAATGAATCTTCTTCACAATTTACGTCCCATATAGTCATATACTATGATAGTGTCAGAACGTAATTGGGTTTTCATAAAGAGTTACCCGGATTCAAGGTCAAATCATATCATATGTAAAACCAATGTTCGGTACCGTATGTTGTATGATAACGATAATTTGTTTAGAAAATGCTAAAATTACATATATTAAACTAATAAGAAAAGATATTACATTCATTGTTTGTTAAAATATATATATACTTAAATAATGATTTTTATATATCAATCTTTTTTTATATTAAATTTTATAATTAATTCAAAATGATAAAAGAAATGTAGAGACTATTGATTATAATAATAAGATGTATAATAAGGATTGTTCTGTCATAAATATAGCAATTTATACATTTGCATGCATCACACAAACGCGGTATTATTACCCAGTTTTATATATAGTATTGTAGATATTTTTACAATTTGCTTACATTTTTTTAATGTACTCGTTTGCAACTTTGTCCAAAAACCCTTCTCGAAACCCCATTTTCAATGTTTGCTAATAATAACATTGATAGAAAAGGAAATTTTGAGAAAAAGGAAAATTGGGATTCAACCACTTTAGAAAAATCTCATCGTTCGTGGTTCATCCTTTAATATACATACAAAATTGCTATGGTGTCCTTTTTTTTTTTCTAACAACTAACCTTCTCATTTTCTTTGGAGATAAACAACCAAAGTTATGAAAATTGAATGATTTTATCTCCAAATATAAACATGATATACAAAAGTAACTAAGAATAATAACATAAAATATCATTTATTCTCTTACAAAGGTTTTTGGCTTCAATTGTAATTTGGATCCATTTAGATTTTCCACATGCACCTGAGAGATCACTATACATTAATATGTGAGGACAATATAATCATAAATAATGATAACTACAATCCATTAGTAGGATAACTCTATAATCGTAATAAAATGCTCAATTTATCATAATTCTACAACTTCAATAATCAAATCATAACTCCATAATAGAAAGCAATTCCATGTTTAAAAAACTCAAATAATTAATTCAACATCTGATAAAAAAAAAGTAGACATAAAGTTCCATAGAGAGTGATATCTTTTATTGAAATCTCTCATTCTATACTCAAAGTTAAACGAAAAAAAATATAACATTGTGACATTTACTTGCATACTCCCTAATATACCTGTCAACAACTTTAGTCAATTACATTGGAAGAATACATAACAAAAAGATTACATAAACTTGTTGGTCCACTTTCATTGGAGAAGATTATGGTTACGTACATGTTCAAGATGTTAGTGACTGAAGTATTCTTCTTCCTGATTGGGAATTCTTTGATATGCGTACTTCTCAATGAACTTCTTCCATGTATATTCCTCAAGTGCGTCTTGCCTCTTTTTCATCCATACCAAGTGAATCTCAAGAGTTGAGAATTAAAAAGGATTTAAAGTAAGAAGCCAATGAATAGTCATATGTTAAACCCATGAATGAGAAATTACAAAAACTCAGTCTAATAATGAGACAAACATATTTCATTTAGGGATGGAGAAGTCATTTACATATTAAACATTTTAGAAAATCAAAAAATTTAGAAAATTTATAACCACAATTCGTACTACACCATTGTGCCACATCATTGGATGTGGTTGTTTCTTATTATAATCAATTTATTATTATACACACACATATAATAAACGCAAGCATAAAAGTTATTTAAGAATTTTGACGGAAGAAGAAAATTTATGATACCAGTGTAAATATCAATTAAAAGTATAAGAGATAAAAAACGAAGGCAACAATTGTAAATAATATTCGAACAAAAAACCAAAGCCTATTAAAAACACTATAAAATACACACGAAATATAATAAGTTGTATGGAAGCTCTTTATGAAGAAAAAACAATGGTACCGATTAGAAAGAAACACATACATATATCAAGAACATATAACTCATAAAAAGTATAAAACAATTCAAACATAAAACAAATGGAAACTAAAAGGTTTGACATATTCACGATGATGTTACCTAGAAAATTTATGTAAGGTGAACAACATACTGATGTGGCGGAAATAAATTTTACAAAAGAGAAACAACAAAAACACATACAAACTTGATAAAACATGAAAGTTAATTCCATTTTGATGGAGCATTCAATTTAAGATGAAAAGCGTATAGAATTTAAACATATAACAAATGAAAACTAAAAATAATGGAAACTTGAGCAAAGAAGAGCCACTTTGAGGTTCCCTATGAAACGATGCATGAAAGGGAGCCACTACGAAGATGATGTTATCTAAAAAACTTATGTAGGATGAACAATGCTACTGATGGGCTGGAAAGAAATTCTACAAAAGAGAAACAACAAAACACATACAAACTCGATAATACATGAAAGTTGTTGATTCCATTTTGATGGGACATTCAATATAAGATGAAAGACGTAAATGATTTAAATATAAAAGAAATTGAAACTAAAAAGTTTTACAAATTCATGATGATGTTACCTAGAAAATTTATGTAGGACGAACAACCGTATAGATAGGTCGGAAAGAAATTCTACAAAAGTGAAACGACATAACACATACAAACTCGATAAAACATGAAGGTTGTTAATTCCATTTTGATGGAGAATTCGATTTGATATATGGAGAGAACCATAAGCTCAAGAAAACGAAATGATTGAGAGATGATGAGGAGTTAGGGAAAACAAAGGGATCAACGTTAAATGCAAACATAAATCAATAATCAATGTTGGATGAAAATTAAAGTGGAGAATTAGAACAAAAAAGGGTTAAAGTATGATGAAGGAGAAAAATAATAATTGAGTTCTACCTTTTAAGAGAAGCCACGTTATACTCAGTGGTTTCTCGTTTAATATATATATATATATATATATGTATATATATATATATAGATAGATAGATTAGGTCCATTTTAGGTATAAATATGTCTCTTTATATGGTCAAGATACAATTATATATATATATATATATATATATATATATATATATATAAAAGAATTTATGGGTGATAATTTAATGAAAATGAAGGGTGTATAACGTGAAGGGTCCATCTTGTTTTGATTCTTGGAACATAAATCCCAAAAATTGGACCCCTCAATGAGTTGGTACATTAAAATTATGTGAAATCTTTCGACATTTTGCATGTTGGATCAAACTTTCATATGCAAAATTATTGTTGGTTTGGATTTTATTCATGTTTTGCTTCTGACATGTTTTGTATTGATATAAAACATATAGTAAATGATGCTTTTAGTCCTTCTGGTTTGTTTATTTAATATTTTTATGGTTTTGAAATTACAATTTTCATTTTTATTGTTTATAATTCATTACCTTTTTCGTTCTTATAATTTAATATTTTTTTTTTATCATTGTGGTTTACAATTTATTTCTGTTTTAATTTTTTAGACTTAAAAGTAGTGTTTTAACATCAAAGATGAAAATAGAAAAGAATTACAAACCAGAGAAATAAAAACCAAAACTTTAAAACCATAAGGGTGAAATCCGTAATTTTTTATAAAGCACATGGACAAAAACGTATTTTATTCTAAAATATATAATGAAGAGACTTGTCATAATACAATATTATTTTCTTATTTAAATAGTCATTTCAGGATTGGTTACACTTCATAGCCATTTTTTTTCCTAAGTTTACCCGAATAGTCATAGGTTTATAAAACCCACATCCACAATGTGAACCTAGCTAAAAGATAAAAAAATTACACTTTCTACCTTTGTTCGCAAAACAATTACAATTTTCATCTAGATTCGCAAAAAAAATTAAATTTCTCACACAGGTTAACAAAAAAAAGTTTAAATTTTTCACCCTTGTTCGCAAAAAAATTTAAAATTGCGGATCTAGAGTTATTTTAGTAAACTTTGTAAAACATTTGCTAACAAATGAAACCAACCGATAAAAATGACTATTTTTAATTAATTTTCTTTAAAATCGAATATTTTTAACCAAAAGACTATTTATCTATTATTATTATAATTAAGGGACTTGCCATAGTCACTTCTTAATACAAGTCATAAGGATAGTTATTTATTACATTATAGAATTCGATAATTTTATGAAATACTTTTTATTCTTGACAATACTGATTTGAGATCCAAACCTAATAATATACCCTAAATGACAAGCAACTTATCATGCATGTTACTTTGTTGATGAGTGGGGACTTGTTTTCCTACCATGAAGATTTGTGAGTCATAATCTCTTTCTCCATATATTTATATATCAAACAATAATTTTGTCATTTCAAATACTTTTTTTTATCATGGTCATTTGAACCAGCTGGAATATACCTCAACTAATTTCATAAAATATTGAAGATAACAATGATATGGAAAATCTCTAATAGCTTTAGAAGATTTGAACTGGCAACGTGGGATCCAAAACATATTAATTTTTGTATTTCAAACACTCCTAAGATGCATATGATTTTGGTTTGTGAAGTTTGATTTTGTTTGGACTATCGCACCCATCGCCCTGTCCACACCCAACCAACCACCATGTCACTAATGTTGTCGTTACAGCTATCATCCCGCCCACCTCTACACAAACCCTATCCCACCACCCCACCTCACCACTCCTGCCCACCCCTGCTCCATAGGTGGGGTTGTTGGGGGCAGGCAAGGTAAGGCGAGGTGGTGGGGATGGGGCTAGAGTGGCGCAGTGAGTGACAGGGTGGTAGCTGTGACGACTATAGTGATAGGATGATGGTTAGTAGTGGGTTGGAGTAGGGTAAGGTGGGGCGGGACGGAACGATGGGGTGGGTAGGGGTAGGTGGCGGGATGGTAGCTGTGACGATGATAGTGGTCGAGTGGCTGGCGCCTGGGAGTGGGTAGGTATGACGATAACAATAGTAGCATGGTGTTTAGTGGTGGCTTGGGGTAGGGTGGGGTGCAGGTTAGTGGCGGTTGTGAAGGCGACAATAGT